AAATATTGGTTAATAAGAATCAGTTAACAGTCAAATTTACTCACATTGGTTCCATTAAGAAAATTCCCAATAGCTAATAGAGTAGAAAGAATAAATCCAAAGGTTGCATTGTTCTCTAGCTGGTCCATTCCTTCCTTCAGGTCCAGAAGTGGTTCTGCAATCTCCTGTCATTAACATGGAAAACGTTCTTCTATATCAATTAAATCTTATGAACAGGCACTTTCATCCTTAATAGTGAATAATTCTTTTCAGGTCAAGGATGTTTCTATCAGTTATTTTTAATATGACTTCTAATTTGCTCTGCCATTTGACTGACCTGTCTATTCAGTGTTAGTACCTATATCCTCAATAATTTATAACCATTTACTTTACGCCTACCTATCCAGGATTACATTATCAACACTGTTAGAACTTGAAATCCTAGGGCATTTCAGCATAGAAGAAAGATATAACTTGGATCCCACGTATGGCTCTGGAAAAAAACAGTAGATCTAGCATACCTGTCAGGCTGTTCACAGGTGCCTAAAACTGAAAGTGATTTTTTCCAAGCACAATTCTCACAGAGTTCTGTTTAGCAAGATTAATTGAGATGAATAGATGTTATCAGAAGAATCCCAGTAACTAAACTATTTTTAGTTTGGAATCAATATATGCCATGTATTTTAGGGCAGAGTCATTTTGATTTTCCTTCTAACAGCCTTCGTATAACCTGGTGACTCTTCTTCTTGATAACAGGAAAGCTTACAGCTGGCTGATTATTTGATGGTCTCCTGAAACTATCTGGAAACCATCTCTTATAGTATCAAAAAGTGACTGCTACTTAAGTTCTTACGCAAGAAATGAAACCACCCTGTACTTATTGATGCATTTTGGCCTTTATTCATTGCTAATTTTAAAAAACTTCTGCCAGATATTCTTTCTTCTTTTGAAACAAATACATATTTAAAAATACTTCAATATTCACCTCACCCAAAGACTGTTGCAATTATAGATACATACAGTATGTGCAAGGAAGCACTAAATTAGTGTATAGTCTGAAATCCTTGGGTGTAGGTCCCTCTAAAATTTGCTTTGATTGTAGTTCTGACACAAGGAGGCATAATAAAAACATGGAATGTATTATTAATTGATTTAATTTATATCAAAATTTGTTCTTATGCTGGCCTCTTTGTTGTCACTGAAATACAATATGATGTTACTGCCTCCTTCCTTTCTTATTTACTTCTCTATCACACTGTTGCACTTTATCTATTCTTCAGCCAAGGAAACAAATAATCTGCCAACTTTATTCCTTTCTTGAGTGCTGTTAAGCTTACTAAGTATGCTGCTTGACATTACCTTTGCATTCTTAATAAGTAACATTAACCCATATTTTTCTAAAACGGTTAGTTTTTATTTTCATAATACGGTCTTCAAAGTCTTCCTTACTTTCAAAACTTGTGTTTTATGCATATCTTAAGCTATAAATGTTTGGGCCTCTTATTTTTGATTCTGCATGTCACCTCTTCCAATCCTGCCATTCTTACTGTATACTATATTCACTGTATATCTTTAGTACACATGGTGATAATATATATTTTGGTCTCATTCCCTTCCCTATTCTAGTTCTTCAAATTTAGTTCTTTTAGTAGCTTACTATTCACTGTCAAGAATCATGTATTTTGGCTCATGAATTAGCTTTAATTCATTCCACATTATGATATGATCTATATAATCAAAGGCTTTGATGGAGTCTATAAAGCAAAGGTAAATAGCATTTTTATATTTTCTTGTTCTTTCCATTATCCGTCTTAAATTAGCTATCTGATCTTGTGTCCCTATGACTTTTCTGAAACCTAGTGTTCAGGAATGTAGGATTTTAAAAATTAATTTTCTATTATGTGAATGAACTAGGCAACTCTGGCTTAAAATAAATGAAAGAGCAAATAATAGCAATACTATTGCTGATGTCTAACTGTGGATCTTTCAAGGAGGTATGAAGTCATAGTAATAGGAGATTACTCCAACATGTGATGGGAGACAAACTCTGCCAAGCACGGTCCTTCCAGGAAAGTCCTGACATGCCTTGCCGACAACTTTTTCCTTCAGACAGTCAAGGAGACACAAGAAGTTCAACTATCCTTGACTTAATATAAGGTTGACTTATTTAAGAAAGTGGAAGAAAATGACTATGTAATACTGGAGTTCTTGATATTAAATAAACTGAAACACAGCTTGATCCAGTACATATCTTGGACTTCAGAAAAGCAGAGCAGGAGAAAGTAATGGAAGAAGGAACTCAAAATGGGAATTCCTAAAGAAGGAGATATTAAAGTCACAACTGGAAACTATTATAAATAGGAGAAATAGTGGAAGATAGCAAAAGAAGCCAATATGGCTATAAAAAAGTTTAATGAAGACTTGAAAACAAAGGACATGTACAGGAAATGGAAAGAGGGCTGGGAAGATCAAAGAAAGAGCAAACTATAGAGTTGGATTTAGAAAAGTAAAGGCTTAGATTAAGGATTCTAACAATATAAAAAAGTTTTCCTTGGAATGGGTAGGGTAGGGCAGGGCAGGGCAGGGCAGGGCAGGGCAGGGCAGGGCAGGGCAGGGCAGGGCAGGGCAGGGCAGGGCAGGGCAGGGCAGGATAGGATAAACAGGAGAGGACAGGTATGCTAGCTGTTCACGGAAGAAGGCAAAATACTAACAGATAACAAAGAAAAGGCAGATTGTGTAAATTTCTATTTTAGTTAAGTCTTTTCCAATAAAAAGTATTGTTCCATCAGAAAGTTTTGTAGGGCAAAAGCCTGAAATTGATAGAAACACTGTGATGAAACACTGTACTTTGAATGAGTTCCAATCTCCAGGACAAGATGAATTATATCCTAGAGTGCTGAAAGAACTCACTGATGCCTTGACTGAAGTTCTATGTATTATCTTTGAGAAATCCTAGAAAATTGGTGAACTGCCAGATAACTGTCAGACAAAAAAATCATCAGATCTACAAACTACAGTCCTAGCAGTCTGACATCAATATCTAGATGTTTCTAGAGCACATGACAAAGAGAAAATCTATAAGTATCTTGAAAACAATGTGGTCATCACCAGAAGTCAGCTTGGATTGTCAAGAACAAATCTTGCCAGACTGCCTGCACTGACAGTGAAGAAGTTATCCTAAGGAGGTTACAATTGCTCTCCTATAAACCCAGCGTCCAATACTGAGATTGTTCAGGGAAATGCAGAGAGCAATCTGTGATGTCTGAAGTGAACAATTTAACTTGCAGGCAATTTCCTCTTTTATATCCAAAGAGGCTTTAGTATGTATGAAACCACTACTCTTTGCCTTGTCAGAGAGCAAGGATTTATTAATATGATCATTTGACTGTTGCACAATTTTGTCAGATTGTTTTACTTGCCCTTTATCAGCACGCATGTCTGGAATGTGTGGCTTAGCTGGAGCTTCTGAATAAGCCTTAATAGACGTAGTGGCTCTGGCTTTGTATTTTTGAACAAAAGCCTCAAAATCTTTCTTCAGTGATTCCAGATCAGATGTTGAAATAATGAGATAACAGTTTGTGTTGTAAGAAGGCACTGTTCTGCCATAAACTCTGTTGAATACTCCCATGAAAGCCTCTCCATATTCTGATTTTGCTTCTTATTAACTTATTTTCATTTCCCTTGAGGTTAGCAGGTGAGTCAAGCTAAGGTTTTCCAAGCTAAGGTAGTCCCTCACCTTCTTTATGGCTTCCAAATTTGCTCTTTTGTAAAGCTTAACATTCTTGAAACTATTCAAAATATTTATTTGAGCCATACTGATTTTTCCCAAAAGTATCCAAAATGCCATCCTACATGTAGAGACAGATATAGTCTCGTGGGATGCTAGAGCATGGTTTCTTCTTATTATCTTTCAGCTAAAGTTAATTCTACTCCTTATAGGTTCGGCCCCATTAGCATTTAGAGATCGTTTTAAATCATCATGGCTTAAAAAAAACCCTAGATAAAATTCATTTGCCGGGCTTCTCTATGGAAAGTTTGTCCTCGTTAGATTTTGATAATGCTAAACTGCCCTGAAACAATGAATTTGGGATATAGAGCTCCAAACAATTTTAGGCTAGGTGTCACATCCCAAAGTATTTATCATATTCTTCCAAAAGGGTTTGCTCCAGCCTCCTATTTATCATCCATTACAATTCTGAAATTTGATAAGGCCTTCACTTCAGCCAGGCTGGATGCTCTCAGCAGTACTTTTTGGATGTTTTAAGGATACTATGTATCTTCGATTATGTCCATGTGGTGATGGCTCAGTAGAAACTCTAAGCCAGATGCTACTATGCTGCTCCCTATATAAGGACCCTAGATTGACCTTCATTTATCCAATCTTGTAGGAACTTCCAGATAGGGAGTGTGATTTCTACTTAACCTTACTTCTTTCAGACAAGGACTCAAAAATATCTTCCCAAATCTCCCAGTTTTGTGCTACTATCTGTACAATACACCGCACCATTAATTAAATTTGGAACTTCTTATAATACTATTTTTATTCTGTTTTATTATATCTGTTCTTAATTATTTTAGATCCTATTTATTGTTTTTATTTACATCCTATTATATTTGTTTATATTTATTATATTTATTGTTTTATACATGCTACCTGTATGTATGTATGTATGTAGGTAGGTAGTCCTCGACTTACAACCACAATTGGGACCAGAATTTCTGTCGTTAAACAATGCAGTCATTAAGTGAATCACACTAAATTTTACGACCTGGTCGTTAAATGAATCACTGCAGCTGTTAAGTGAATCACATGGTCCTTAAGTGAATCTGGCTTCCCCCACTGACTTTGCTTTTTGGAAGCCCCATGGGAAAGTCGCAAATGGTGATCACATGACCTCGGGACTCTGCAACTGTTATAAATAAATGCCGGTTGCCAAGTGCCCAAATTTTGATCACGTGACTGCAGGGATGCTGCAATGGTTGTAAGTGTGAGGACCAGTCTTAAGTCACTTTTTTCAGCACTGTCATAATTTTGGATGGTCGTTAAACAAATGGTTGTAAGTCGAGGACTACCTGTATATATGTATGTAACAGTTCTACTATTAGATATTTTATTGTATCTGGCCTTAGGGCTGTAGTAACTGGTTGACTGATTGAATCTTGCCAGACTAATCTTACCTAATTTTTTGATTGGGTAACTTAACAGATTTTGGAATGCTCTAACCATAATATATCTTGACTTCAGCAAAGCATTTGACACAGTACTACAAGACCTGCTAATTAGTAAGCTAGCTGGATGGATTTAAGTTAAAGATTGAATGTTAGAAAAAACTTTACCACAATAAGAATACGACAGTGGAACCAATAACGTGGAAAAGTTGTGAGCTCTCTTTCACTGGATGTGATAGTGGAAGCTAGTTAGCCATTTGTCTGAGATGCTGTAATATGGATTTGTATCCTGAACAAGGGGCTGGATTCATTTCCTTAAATGGCCTGTTCCAACTCTATGATTTTACAGTTCTGCCTGCAAGACTTCCCCCCACCCCTAGTTTTTCTACCAAAGTGCTACGGATGTTGAGAAGTATTTTGGGTGAGAGACTATTTCCTGATATAATTCTCATCCCAGTTAAAGTCCACTGTGCTTCAGATACGGCAATTAGGAAACATGGGCCTTACTGAATACTCTTAATTGTTCCTCTAGTTATTCAAAATGGTATTAATGAAGGGCTCAGCAGAGAGTTATTCACTATAGTGAGAGTAAATAGGTTACATTAAAATCCAGAAACAATTATATTTATTCAGCAATAAGAAATTACCTTTTCCACGAGCTCATAATCCATTTTAAATGCCCAGAGCTGAAGTCTAGGAGTGAGTTCAGTAATGGAAGACAGAGTCAGTAGGAACTGTTCAGCAGTACCCAGAGGAATATCAGGGTTGGCTAACTGAGCTTCTTGAATTTTCTGCTTCTCCTCTTCTGTGGGAATCATTGTGAGAATTTTCTAGAAAGACCCCCCCCGCCAAAAAAGAAAAATCCCATCAAAGGCAAACTACACAGAATGCTCACCTAAACTGAATGTATTAAAGCTGATCTTAGTTTTGTAAATTTTCTTGACAAAACTCCTAATTTTTCTTGTTAAAAATCTGAGAATGATTAAGAATTATCCACATCAAAATTATGCAAATATTTACATTTAACTGATTTTAATAATTGTTTAAATATTACAACTATTTATAAAATAATTTTTATCTTTTCAATTCTGTGCAACCATAATGTAAAAAATGGTATTTCTCTGAAGAAAGAGTCTTGTACCTGCATATCCACTGCTAACTGAAGAGATATGTACCGACTCAGGGGTTCAAAAACATGCAGCACCAGGACATCACATATACAGGCTAAAAACTGTCATAATATGTTTGGGGAGAAAACAGACTTGTACACAATCCAATCTTTTAAGCAAGAATGGTGAAATCTCATAAGATCTCAGTGTTCTCACATGAGATTTTGCACCACATTGAGAAAAACTGCATGGGTTACACATACAGTCAGGTCCAGAAATATTGGGACATCGACACAATTCTAACATCTTTGGCTCTATACACCACCACA